GGCCAGACCAAAGTTGAACCTGGACCGAATTGGTGTGGGCTAGAAAACCTTTAGACCATCCACAATGGTGGAAGGGAAAAGAGGGAAATTTGAGTGGGTAAAATAGGGAAATGAGGGTTTGGCCATAATGGGTGGGAAGGAAAAATAGGGTAATTGATAAGGAGTTTTTTTTTTTTTTTGCCAAAATCAATTTAGTGTTGATCTCATCACTTTATTAAGATAATTTGTTCATAATTTTTATATAAGCAGTAATAATTAATTAAGATGAACATTTCGATATAATTTTTTTTAATTTGGACATAATTTTTTTTATCACTAATTAAATATAACGTCAGCACTAACGAAAAATATAGATGTTGGAAATAAGATTATAGGAAATATTGCTGTTAAAAAATATGAATGTTGAAAAATATAATTGTTAGCCAATAACATACTATAATCACTAATTAAAACAACTAAACCAATAAAAAAAGAAAAAGAAAACAAAAATAAAAACCATCGGGTCCCACCTACCCCTTTTCTTTTTTCCCTCCTCCATTTGTCCTCTAGTGAAAGGAAAACCCTATCACTTTTTCATTTTTTTTCATTTTTTTCTATCCTATTATGAGATTTCCCACCCTTTTCCCCTTTTTCCCCATCTTATTGTGGATAGCATGGTTGTCATGCCAGTGGTATGCCGGCCGGTTGAACCAGGTTCAACCGGTACCGGTGATGAAACCGGCTGGAATACCACCGGTATAATGCTTCAGTCAATTCCGGTCAAATCCGGTCAAAACCGGGAATTCCGGGTGGTCCAACCGGTTTCTGATTCCGGTCACTTATCATAAACGCGGACGTTTTAAACTGAATGTTAAAAAAAATTAAAAGACCACAGCGTCCCTCCGTGTCACAAGTTGCCCAAGCCCAAGCCAAGCCCAACCGGTACGTTGTTTGTTATTATTCCCCAACCACTACGAGATTGCCTATTTTTATTCACCAAAATATAATGTGGATCTAATTTGTTAGCGAGCATTCATTGATTTTTACTTTTTACAATTGAAATAGTAGGTTTCTCACTTAGCTTTGCTAATCTTTCGATTATGTTCTGATGAAAACTATGAATGCTTGTTATGAGTTTCATTTTATAATGAAGGTTCGCTTGTAACAATTGAAATTTTATTGTATCCGGCATAAACCGGTATAAATTGGTTGTACCACTGGTAGAACCATTCCACTTGTAAAACCGGCGCACTGGCATAAACCGGTTTGACAACCTTGGTGGATAGTCTTAACTGGCCCTGAGACTGACTGGGAGGACATGAGGCAACGCCTAGCTTTGGACCGGAATTCTTGAATTTTATTGGGCTGGGCGAAAATGAAATTATATTTGTTGAGTTGCAATTCTCGCTTTTCCATGAGCCCGCAAAGTCTCAAGGGCCACAATATTTGCTCTTCAGCCGACATCGTTGCAACATGCAATGAATGTTGGCATGTTGCCTTAGCAAGGAACGAAAGCTACCTAAGGCGAGAAACGAGTTAACCATTAATCATGGAAATGGAAATGGAAATGGAAATGGAAATGGAAATGGAAATTTTGAACTGGAATAAAATCACAACAACAGCTCATAAAAAGCCAACAAGAAAACACAACAAAACCTACCCCACCACTAGACCTGTCAAAATGTAACCCGACCCGAGTAACCCGTTCGATCAACCCGACCCGCCCGCAATCCGATTTGACTAAAAGTCAATGACCCGCAACCCGACCAACCCGCAACCCGATCGACCCGCAAACCGACCAACCCGCAACCTGATCAACCCGCAACCCGACTAACCCGAACCCGTAACTCGACCAACCCGCAACCCGACTATAATAGAAAGAATTCAATGAAGATAAACCAAAAGTTGACATTTGAAATTCTAGTTCACTAAAGTTTGATCATTACATCATCAATTATTAACTTAGTATAATAATATACATCATCAACCTATTAACGCATATAATATCATCAAATATTTATTTAGATACATCATCAACCTAATAGTGCACATAACATTATAAAATATTAATTTAGCATAATAAGATAATTATAATATTTAAGTTGCTTATTTTAGTACACATAACTACTTGCTTATTTTAGTTGGTGTATAGGGTATATAATGAGTGTAATGGGTTAAGATATAAGGTATTAATATTTTAGGCAAGATTAGTCAAAAACTGAAAATAATAACTTATAACTAATAAGGATCGAGTTTTTTATTACACGTGTTCATGAATCAAACCATTAGGGGTTTAGGGTATATGAACTATAGAGTCGATGTATAGGATATATGGTTAGTCTAATGGGTTAGGGTATAAGGTATTAATGGTTCAACACTTATTAGTCAAAATCATAACTAATAAGATCAACTTTTCTTATTAACACATGTTCATCAATCAGAATTCGGATCATTAGGGGTTTAGGGTATAGGTTATAGAGTCGGCTTATAGGGTATATGGTTAGGGTATAAAGTCTTATTGATTTGACCACGGTTAGTCAAAATCATAACTAATAAGATCAACTTTTCTTATTAACATATGTTCGTGAATCAAACCAGTAGGGGTTTAGGGTATAGGTTATAGAGTCGACTTGTAGGGTATATGGTATTAATGGTTTGGCCACGATTAGTCAAAATCATAACTAATAAGATCAAGTTTTCTTATTAATATATGTTGATGAATCCACTACAAGAAAACCAGCCTATAGAAGCAAATAATTAGAGACAATTGTTGTAGTGGTCTCTATATCTAAGCTTTAGGGGCAAATATATTATTTGTCTCAATAGGTGAATTTTTTTTGTCTCTACAGGCAAATCTAATAGTCTTTAGAGACAATTACAAATGTTGCTTATAGTTATGCCATATAGAAACAAATTTAATAGTCTTTAGATGCAAATATAAATGCTCCCTATATATATATATATATATATAGGCGAGTTCTACGGTACCTTGGGTGAAATCCGGGGTACCGCATACCTTGAGTATGCAAACACTATCTAGACCTTTAATTGACCTATCTTTCGGACATGATACTATACTCTAACACTTAAAGATCAAAATCTAGGTGTTAACTCTCCCAATCTTATAATCCAAGATCAATTTAATTAGAAACAATAATCGACGGTTATGATTCATCCAAATATAGGCACAAAAAGGAATGCACCATCTTAGGGTTTATAGATTATGATTTAGATAGTTATGACCTACGTTTCACTCATTAAGGGTTAGGGTATAATATCAGACACAAAAATCCTGGTAATTCGAGGTCTAGATAGAGTTTCCATACTCGAGGTATGCGGTACCCCGGATTTCACCCGGGGTACCATAGAAGCCACCATATATATATTATAGACGCAAATCTAATAGTATCTAGAGACAAATACAAATGTCACTTATAGTTATATCATATGGAGACAATTTTAATAGTCTTTAGAGACAAATATAAATGTTACTTATACCCATATCATATATTTACTATTTAGAGACAAATACATATGCTCCTAATATAATAATTTGAATTGGTTGTATTGTGTAGGTTCAAGTAATGGGAAAATGATCATTGATGCATGCTGCCCAAAGTTTCCCATTTCCACTTAATTATTTAGTTATTATAAAAAAATTGACTCCAAAAGTGTGGTGAGTGATTTGGGTGGAGACAATGACATTCAGTTTCTGGAGGACAAAAGTCCATGGGGTACTGGAGCTTGCTTCCGCCTTCATAGTCTCCTAAAAATAAAATAAAATGCTAAAATAAAAGATAAAAGGGAAAAGATAGGACTTAGGATGGCGGGGCACTTGAAATTTTAGGAGCCAAAATTTTGACCGAGTGGGCGGCAGCATCACAAAAGCAAATTTTAGAATTTGAAAGAAGTAAAATTTTAGGACTATGGAGGCAAAAAATTGAGGAGCAAAATTTTCAAATTATGGAGGATGGAATAAAATCAGTAGATGCAAATTGTTTGGGAGATTTCCACTATAACATGAATTGCATTGGAATTCTTTTACAGTGCGGCAATTGTGTTGAGATTTATTTTATTGACACCAATCTTATAATTTCATGCACATATTAATGTTATAATCCATACCTATATTTTCGGTTCCCCAACAATTTTTCTAAATTTTAAAATTTAGTTAATTACAAAAATCATATTAACAATTAACTAGCTAAACTAACAATTTCTCTATACATTTAACATTTATATGAACAATTTCACTTGTTTTTAAAAAATTAAAAAACTACTTTTAAACTTTTCTCTCCAAATTTTCGGTTCCCCCAATACTACTGCCCAAAAATTTGATTGCCCCCACCCGCTGAGACCCGCCAATAATTCCCCCCTGTAATGTTTCCCCAAAATTTTGTCCCCCCACCTTTGAGTCTTTGACTTTGAGTAGTGATTCCTTTTTTTTTACAAGTATTGTGGTAGCTTCATATAGTTACGATTTACGACTTACTAGTAATCACTAAAAACTAACGCGATGTTCTGGTCCGTAAAACCCGCAACCTGAACCGCCCGACCCGCAATCCGATTGACCCGCACCCGATTGGCCCGTAACCCGATTGACCCGCAACCCGATTGACCCGCAACCCGAACAACCCGCAACCCGAATGAACCCTGCCCGAACCCGCCCGATTGGCACCTCTACCCACCACCCAAAACTGTCAATACAATAAATAAAACAAATAGTTGTCTTATCTTGTGGCGATTCGCAGGTATTCATTCGGCTGATGAATGCGAAAGACTAGGTTCACACTGTGGGAGGTACCATTCTGAAAGAGGTTCAGTTTTTCAAATATCTCTCCGGCATGTCTCGTTTTATTTCGCTCTTCATAGGTATAATATGTTTGCTCATATCGTGGCAAAATATATCATTTTGTCGTTGGTTCAACATCTTGTTGACCAACGCGCTTTACTTTTTAGTTTTTTACTGTTTTATTATGACCTTTTGACCATCTACTTGAGTAGCATGTAGAATGGAAAAAATGCCTCTCTCTTCTCTCTCTCTAACGGACACTTTCTCTGAACCAAGCAACGGTTCCTTTTCCATCCCCTTAGCTGGGACTCCTCCAGCTCTTGCGAAGAGCAATCTGGTGACCAAATCTCACTACAAAAATCTTCCCCACCCACCTACTCTGCACAAAGATGATATTAGTACCATAAATCCAGGGGCAGGGAAGATTCTTATGCTGATTGGACTACTCGGAGAAGAACCAAAAGATGGTTTTAAGAAGAGGGAAGTTTGGAAACCTCCAGATAGTGGCAATAAAGGCTCTCCCAGCCAAAGCAGAGGTAGGAGAAGTAAATGGAAAAGGGGAAAATCAGTAGCTAAATCTCTGATCGGTGAATATGCCATCCACCTCGAGCAAAATGAAGACAACATTGAGCCAAGAGCCTCTGTTATGACAGTGGGAAAACAGGGGAAAGCTCTACCTAATCCCCTGATGAATACAAAAGCGATTGACAAGAAAGATAGCTACCTCATTCAAGAGGGAAGAGAGGTGAACAGGAGGGGAAAAGGCTTTAAAGGGAGGTGGAAGAGGGGAAGAGAAGGATGTGCTCACATTTCCAGTACTGCTGCCGATTCTCCCTGGCTCTTGCTGGTCTCATTACCCACCTTTAGCAAAGAAAAAATCCCTCTGTCGCAAACCAAGTTTCAAACCAAGCTGCTGTGCCCAAGAATGGAGTCCATCAACAATGAAGCAAACACCAACCAGGGGAGGGGAAGCCTTGTCCAGTCGTTAACCAGGGGCAGAGGGGGACGCCTTATCCTGTCCTCAACTGGAGGGAGAGGGATGTCCATGCTGTTGGGGAAGATGCTGACAGAGAGCAAGGTTGCATTAGCAAAAGCAGCTGGAGCGGCTCGTTACGCGTGGGGCAGCTACGGGGAGGTGAACATTCAACCAACCGAAACCCCAAACCTGTTCCTGTTCACCTTCAAAAGCATGGAGATCAGAGATAAGATTTGGGAGGAAAGGCCCAGGAGCTTGTCGAACACTATGACGGCGATCGAGAAGTACAATGGAAGAGGGAAGCCCGAAGATGTGTCGATCGAAAAGATGGCGATGTGGGTTCAGATCCATGGCCTGCACCAAAATCAAAGGAGTGAGGAGAATATGGTGGCAATTGGATCAAGCTACTTATTGGAGCTGTTGGATATTGACAGAGCAAGCCTGGAATGTACCGGATACAGGAGGTTCCTTCGCATTCTAGTGGAGGTAGATATCAGGAAACCTGTCCCAGTTGGTTTCAATTTCCCCTTTCTTGATGAATTCACAGGAGTTGAGCACTGCGATGCGATTGAATTCAAATATGAGAGATTGGTGGAGTTGTGCTATTTCTGTGGCAGAATTGTCCATAACTGGCCAACATGTAGAAGAATGAATGAGGAAAGGAAGAAGAATGGAGTGGCTTACCTGTCGGATGTCTACACCGCATCTCTGAAGGCGGGGATCGACTCGCCACATAGAAGCTCTGCGGCTCAAGCTAGGAACAGGGGAGAAGGAAGAGGGAGTTATCGAAGGAACGAGGCGGTTGAAAGCGACTCGGCGGCGGAGATGGGTGGTTCATCGGGGGGATGCCGAAAATCCCTCCAGGTTTCACGATCCAAAGAGAGGAAGAAGGGCAAATAGAAAGGGAAGATCAGGGGCTCTTGGGTAGGCAGAGGGGAAGATACAGGGAAGGGATGGGTGGTAGAGATATCTCCATCGATCTAGAGAAAGCGGCAAAGGAACTCGAATGGGGTCTGAGATTGGGAGAGGGCGGCGGTGGTTTGGGCGCTGGAAGCCAGAATAGGGAGGTGGGGTTGGGCTCTGGCGGTCGGGCTGGGGAAGTGCAAACAACACTCTCCCTTGGGTCGCTGATCCAGGGAAATTATGAGAAGGCCCAGGAAAAGTTGTTAAGTGGTGGATCGGGCCTGTATCACCATGTAGAGGAAGAATTGGAGGAAGAAGCGGGTCGGGCCAGAAAGAAGAGGAAGGGGACTAGCAGGCTGGAGGCGGCAGGCTCCTTTATTTCTGATGGAGCAATTTTTATGGGAGGGCAAGAGGGGAAGAACAGAAAGAAGAAAGGTATTAGGGGAAAAAAGGGTGCTCAAAGAGGGACGAGATCAGAAGAGGTGGCGGATAGTCAGGAAGATGAATCAAGGGCAACGGTGGTTCGCCAGAAGCCACCTCATCCAGAATGAGTATAGTAAGTTGGAATTGTAGGGGGTTTGGCCCTACCCTTACAAGAAGTTATGCGAAGCGTCTCTATAGGCGTTTAGGCCCTTCTATTGTTTTTCTTATGGAAACTAGCAAAAATGAGGTTTTCATGGAAGAACAAAGAAGAAGTCTCAAAATTTTCCCCAATAGAGAGTATGTTGAACCGGTCAACTCTTCTAGGGGTTTTGCTTTATGGTGGAAATCGGGCATTAATATTACGGTATTAAGTAGTGATAGCTACTACATGGATGTTAGAATAGATATGGGTAGGAAATTTTTCTGTACTTTTGTTCATGCACCCTCTACAGCAGTTAGTAGAAGGGAATTTTGGGAGCACTTGAGCTCTCTGCGGAGTAGTAAGGATTATAGGAGTCAATCGGGCGGGTTCGGGCAGGTTCGGGCTGGGTTTAATCGGGTTGCGGGTTAGTCGCGTTGCGGGTTCATCGGGTTGCAGGTTCGTCGGTTCGGGTTCAATCGGGTTCGAATTTAATCGGGTTGCGGGTTAGTCATGTTGCGGATTGATCGGGTTCGGGTTCAATCGGGTTACGGGCAAATCGGGTTCGGGTTCATCGGGTTTCGGACTGGGCGGGTTGCGGGCGGATTGGGTTGCGGGTTGTTCGGGTCAACGCATCGAGTTACTTACTCGTTACCAACTTACACATTTTATTACACTAATTTAAAATATTTTTCACAGTTTTTAATCAATTTCTTTCTACCTTGTATATATACTTAATTAAGAAAAACTAATCAAAATCACCACAATCGAAATTTGAAATCTCGCCTTCCCACCACAACTAAAATTGGGCCGCCCAAAATTTCATCATCACCCACCCACTACAATTACATAAAAAACACAAAACCCTTCCCTCTGCTTGCAAAAAATTGGGCGCCCAAAATTTCATCACCCGCCCAAAACCAAAATTTCATCACGCCCGCCCAAAATTACTTCTTAGTTCTTACCTTGTCATCTTCTCAAATAATAAAGTTTATTATTATAGACAAAAGATTTTTGTTATTATTTATTATAAATATTAGCATTGTGCTGATTTTATATTTACTTTTTTTTTTTAATTTGGTTAAAGAAATTCATGTCATAATTTTTGTAATTAAAAACCATAATTTTAATTGAATTTCAGATTTTGAACATTTTACTTAGGTTGAGAACGAAAAACTTTATTTGCAAACAAAATATTTATTTTAACAAATTTATTTCTACCTCATATATATATACTTAATTTTTTTGAAAAAAGCGAGTCAAAATGTTAAATCAATTTGTATGACTTGCAAACTTGTTATGTAATTAATCGTAATTGGTAAAGTACACTAGCTAATAGTAATGGTGATATCAATATTTACAACCAAAAGATACCATTAATTATTTATTAGATATTTTAGTATCATTTCAGTAGTGTAATTGGATTAAAATATCTCATTTAGTATAACCATGCAAATGTGGTATTTGGCGTGTGGTATTAGGCAAAAACAGAGTGATAAAAGAAGTTACTTCGAAATAACTCATTGCCCAAATAACTTCAGTAAACTGTTGTCAAACGAGTTATTTGTAAAATTGTTCGAATTATCCTGAAAATTGAACCATTAAAGATTAACTATCATATACTCCCTAACCATATACTCCCTAAACCATCTGTACCTTACACCATTTACCCTAACCAATATACTTTATACCCTAAACAACGAACCGTCAAAGATTACTTATCAAGTTTAGTATAATTGTTGTAACTAATGGTTAATTTATTTATTAGCCCATAAACAATTACATATACATATATATATTAGCCTTCAAAGCATATAAGAATAAATTTAACTAGTCATGCCCTCCATATAAAAATTAAAGACTCATATTTCAAAGGCTAAAATTTTGAAAAACCAAAAAGTTGAAAACACCAAATTTGTTTCATTCTTTCTTTTCAAAAAAAAAAAACTAAAATTTCCCTCCTTTTTTCTCCTTCCATAAATTAGAAACACTCAATTTCCCTCCTCTTTCTCTTCCATAAAATTGAAAGAACCAAATTTCCCTCTTCCTTTCTTCCACAAAAAGTTGAAAACTCAAAATTTCCCTCCTTATTTCTCTTTCATAATCAAAAGAACCAAACTTTCTCACTTCTTTCTATTCCCACAAATCAAAACCACCAAAATTTCCCTTGTTTCTTTTCTAAAAAATTCAAAAAAACCAAATTTCCCTCTTCTTTCTCTTCACAAAAAGTTGAATACACCAAAATTTCCTCTTCTTTTAAAAACATCAAATTACCAAATACATTACTTTATTTTATTTATATTTAATTGATAATTTTATTGAATAGTTTAATTAACCATAATTTTTATTTATATATTATATTAGTATTGTCCATGATCTCAATTATTAATTCTTCATTATTAATATTGACATTATGTTGATTTTATATTTACTTTTTTAAATTTGTCAAAGAACTTAGTGTTCAAGTGACCTTCATGTTTCAATTTTAGTAATTTTCTTAAAATACATAATATCAAGTGAGTTTCATATTTTTTAAATTCCCTATACGAAATGAAAAAATAATTTTACCTAAGTTTAGAATGAAAAAATTTATTTTGAAAAACTATGTATTGTATATTATAATAATTATTGAAGTAGACTAAGTGAGGTTCGGGTTGAGTCGGTTGGGTTACGGGTTAGTCGGGTTCGGTTCAATCGGGTTCGGGTTAATCGGGTTGCGGGTCAGTCGGGTTGCGGGTCAATCGGGTTGCGGGTCGGGCGGGTTGTGGGTTGTTGACTTTTAGTCAATTCGGGTTGCGGGTCGGGTTGATCGGGCGGGTTAATCGGGTCGGGCTATGTTTTGACACCTATAGTAAGGATGATAACTGGGTGGTTGTAGGGGATTTTAATGCTGCGATTTATGAAAATGAAAAGGAAGTGAGATGCTCTCTTAGGTACGAGAATGTTGAACCTTTTAAGAGGTTCATATTCCAGAATGCTCTTATTGACCTGGGGTACAAAGGGGAGCCCTTCACTTGGACCAACAAGAGAACGGGCCAAAACCTGATGAGAGTGAGATTGGATCGTGTGCTATGCTCAACGTCATGGCGTGCCCAATTTGGCGAAGCAGTGGTCTTCCATGAGAAAATGGTGGAGTCTGATCACTGCCCGATCAGACTGGAACATCAGTTTCGGGGAAACAGGAGGAAGAAGACACCCTTTAGGATTGATGAAAGATGGTTGGAGGAAGAAGAATGCAAGGAGATTATTGCCAGAGCGTGGGACCCGGGAGGCCAATCAACGGACCAGCTGAACAAATGTGAAATAGATCTAAAGGAATGGGAAAAAGACTTCCATAAGAATAGTATACAGAGGGAGCAAGAAATTCTTTCTAGGCTCGAAATTCTTCAACATCCGCCAAGAACAATGGAGAATGTGGAGGAGGAGAAGATGCTTACTATTGAACTGACTAAACTTTGGAGGGATGAAGAAGCATTCTGGAGCCAATGCTCGAGAGTTAACTGGCTCCAAAAAGGTGATCAGAATACTTCCTTCTTTCACTCTAGCACAATATATAGAAAGCATAGAAACAAAATCCTGAAACTCAAAGATGGAGAAGGAAATTGGATTGAAGATGAAAATAGCCTCAAAAGACTAGCAGAAGAGTTTTACATGGATCTTTTTAAGGCTAGGAATCCGATTCCTTTTAACCATCTGTTGGAAGGCTTCCCTGAAAAAGTAACTACAGAGATGAACGAGGATCACTGTACTGCGGTGACTGATGGGGAAATTAGAAAAGCGGTTTTCTCACTGGGTGCTCGCAAAGCTCCTGGTCCTGATGGATTCTCGGGAAGATTTTATAGGAGATACTGGGATATCCTAGGAGATACCGTGTGTCGAGAAGTTAGAGGATTTTTCGAGACGGCTAATATGCCAGCTGGATGGAATGAGACTCATATTGCAATGATCCCCAAGGTCGATAACCCCGAACTGATAAGCCAATTCCGGCCTATTAGCTGCTGTAATTTTAGATATAAAATCATATCTAAGATTATGGCAACGCGCCTCAAGAGATGGACTCCCGAATTGGTTTCTAAGCTCCAAACAACATTCACCGGGGGTAGGCTTATTCAAGATAATATCATCATTTTCCATGAGGCCTTCATCATTTCAAGAACCATAAATTGGGGAGGAGAAGAGATATGATGTTGAAATTGGATATGAAGAAGGCTTATGATATGGTGGATTGGGAATGTCTGGAGGCTCTTCTCAAGAAGTATGGGTTTGACACTAAATGGTGTGGGTGGGTCAGTGCTTGCATTAGAACAGTCAGCTTCTCTATTCTTTTCAATGGAGAAGCAACTGACTCTTTCAGGCCTTCCCGAGGCATTGTCCAGGGAGACCCTCTCTCACCATTCTTATTCATTCTCATGTCTAACGCCCTCACCTTCTTGATTGATAAGGCTGTGGCGAACAATAGTCTGAAGGGGATTAAGCTGAACGCTAGATGCCTAGTGCTCACCCATTGCCTGTTTGCAGATGACACAGTCATTTTTGGCAAGGCAAAGTACCAGGAAGCGCAGAAAATTATCGATCTCATTGGGGAGTATGGAGCTATCACATGTCAAGAGGTTAATATAAACAAATCTTCAGTCTTCTTCAGTGCCAATGTCCCCTGCAACGTCAAAGATCAGATCATAGCGAGCATTGGCTTCGCTTCCTCGAATTATCACTCAAAGTATCTTGGGGTCCCGACGGAGTGGAGAAACTCGAAGAAAGAAACTTTTAATTTCCTCATTCAAAGGATGGAAAAAATGGGGGAAGCATGAAAAAGTCTCATTCTCTCTCATGGTGGAAAAGAAATCCTTCTGAAAGCAGTTATTCAAGCTATTCCATCGTATATTATGTGCTTGTTCTATCTCCCAAAGGTACTCACTAAGAGAATGGACTCTCTTCTCAGTAATTTCTTTTGGTCTGGGTCGATGCAGAAAAACAGCCTCCATTGGTGTAGGAAGGAAATTCTCTGCTTACCTAAGTATGAGGGAGGTTTGGGCTTTAGGAGTTTCAATGATTTTAACCTTTCCCTTCTCGCTAAGCAGGCTTGGCGCCTCCTCAATACCCCTGAGTCATTGTGGAGCTGCCTACTGAAAGGTTTGTATTTCCCTAGAGGTGATTTTCTTAATGCTAAAAAGGGGAGCAAAGCTTCATGGATCTGGGCTAGTCTTTGGGAGGCAAAAAAAAGGTGCTAGGTTTGGGAGCAGTTCGAGTGATCGGATCAGGTGAAGACACGTGGATCGATCGGGACCCCTGGATCCCCACTTTGGACAATTATGCTCTCAGGACTGGCCCCCAGAATCATCAAAAGGTCAATGAGTGGATTGATCCTGGAGAAAGGAAGTGGATTCCGGATGTTATCCAGGGACATGTGTCTAGCTCAGGGACATGTGTCTATCACAGAGCCAACACCAACACGCAATCAAGCGGGAATACGGAAAAATGGAAATGGATATGGAGCCTTCACATCCCCCCGAAATTGAAATTCTTTGTTTGGAGATGCTCCAGGAATGGATTAGCAACGAAAGAGAGATTGCTCCAGAGGAAGTGTGCCCCCAATTCTTCTTGTCAGGTATGCCAGAACCTTGTCGAATCCGTCAATCATTGCATGTTCCAATGCCCCCATGCCAAGGTGGCATGGAATGCTCTTTTTCCGTCTCTCCCTTTACCCCCTCAGGGAACCTTGTTCTTTGACTGGTTCTGCTCCCTTAAAGATGTTGTTCAGCATAGCTCCCTGATCCATATTGTTTTCCTTTGTTGGAACATTTGGAAGGCGAGGAACGAGTGCTCTTTCAAGGGTAGAATTCCGTGGCCTCCGAAGGTGTGCCAACTTACTTCTAAAGAACTTACTGAATGGTATTCGTGCCCGAGGTCCCCACCTCCCCTGCCATCCCTTCCCACTCAGCTCAGGGGAACTCAGTCTCATACGAATCCACCGCCAAGTAATCAGCCTTTGGTGATTCACTGTGATGGGTCGTTCATTAGCGACCCCCAGTCGGCGGCATATGGTGTTGTGGTTGTTAACCACCATGGACAAGTGTGTGATGGGAGAGCTGAGAATCTTCTTTGTTCCACCCCGATTGAAGCAGAAGCTAAGGCCCTTCTCGAAGGATTGAAATTAGCTCAAGAATATGGATCCGAATGTACGGTTCAATCCGACTATCAGATGTTGGTGAGAGCTTTGGAGTACGATCGCTCTCGTTGACCATGGAGGTGTGCAGCATGGATCAGATCGATTGTTTCTATCCTTCGGACAAACCCTCTCATCAAAATCAAAGAAGTGCCCAGAACACTTAATGTCAGAGCGGATCGGGTTGCAAGATCAAAAGCTCGAGCATCGCTTCCTGATGATTGGATTAATATTCTTGATCTCATTTCTGATCTTCTTTAGAATTGTAACCAAGTTTCTCGTCTTTCAGTTGTTTGGTGGAATAAAAGTTGGTATTCAATTGTAAAAAAAACCATCTGCATATTTCTTGTATTTTGCTATTCTTTCTAAAATATCTAGGAAAAAAAGGTAGGGTTGTCATGTGCTGCATGCGCGCGCAGTTGGGTACGCAGCTTCCCAAGTCGGAAACCTTCGCCGATCGCCGCTCTGTAATGTAAGCCAAGTTGCAAGTTGCGACCGCCCCACTGAGCCAGCCAGCCAGCCAGGTCCAACCGATTCCAGGTGGCCCGCGCCACGATTCCCCACCTTAATTCCCTTTTATCCTCCTCATTTTCGGTCCCTCGGTTCAAGAAGCTACGAGATTGAAAGGAAGTACCGATACCCAAATCCCCAACCAATATTTCCGTATTCATACGCCTGCCTCACCAAACCAATTCTGAATCCGACGAAATCCCAATTCACTCTGTTGCCTCATTACAAGACCGCTTACTCATCATCCTCTCTTCTTCGTCTTCTTCCTCAATTCTCCCTCCTCCTGGTTCAACTCCTTTCTTGCTCACCCGCCCTCCTCTTTTCCTCAGAATTTTTTATTATGCAACTTTCCCTTTCGCTTTTGAGTTGTTCACGGGCTGTCATGATCGTGATTGACGGATAATCCCGGTGAGGTTGGTTAAATCGCAAAATGGATTTTTTCTTTTGGTCGGAAGGAAGCGAAATCTGAAGCCTTTTTTATCTTCGTCGCCGGCGTCTCTCTGCTTCCTTCTTTCCCCCCTTCGGGAGGCATCGGACGGAATTCAGATTCTTCGCTTTTGGCGTTCACAGATGGGACCCTAATTCTACTACCCCAATTCTGACATCTTCTGACCTAAAAGACAAACCTGCTGCGGCTTTCTTTTCAGCAGCTTCCCTTGTCGTTTCCAGTGGCGGAGATTCAAATTCCCCTGAGGTTAGCCCCTCTCTTTCTCTCTCCGGCGCGTCTTTTGCATTAATTGCTTCTCTCTTTCGCCTGCTGTTTGTGCCGGAGGATTTTGGTCTTGCGTGCCCTGCAAATTACAGATGGGTTTCACGTGAATTACAGTTCTTCGTTGTTGTTTTTTGTTTTGTTTTGTTTTTTTTTGGCGGGGTTGACTTTGGTATGGTTTTCGCGCATCCCTCTTCATAGAATTCACCGGCGATTTATAATTAACTAACGATTCCTTCTCCCCTTCCTGCAGATTTCCTTCGCTGGATGGAGTTCTTGATCTTGTGAAAAGAAAAGGGACATGCAGATTTAGAATGCTTGAAATCAGATAGCTGTAGTTCCATTTCTTGTATCCCGGAATCTCCAGATGGACCTGCCCTCCGGCAGCAAGAACCCGAGACTCGCACTGAGGAATTTGGATTCTTTACTCTACAAGTGCTTGGCTCTAATCGGCCTTGCTCTGTTTTTCAGAGCCGTCGTTGTTCTTCCCCTCTCTAGCTATGGTGGGATGCGCCCGCAGAAGCTCGATTTGGGTCAGAGCTTGTCTTCTGACAACGGAATCCGTCAGAACAAGTTCTTGGAAGTGCCGCAGATAGTATGGGGGCTAAACAATCAGAAGATAGCATTTGCAAGAGCTTGCCTAACAGCTAGAATGCTCAACCGCACGCTGCTAATGCCTAGCCTCAGTGCATCTCTGTTTTACAAGGAAGTGGACCGCCTACAGCCCATCTCCTTCAACAGAGTTTTCCAATTTGAGAAGTTCAATTCGCTCTGTAGCGGGTTTGTGCAGTTGGGTCGCTACTCGGATATCAGAAATGAGACTGGAGTTTATGAGGTTCAGAAGGGGAGTGGAAGGCGGTGGACGGTTCAGAAGGATCTGGATCAATTGAAACAGGTGAGTATGGATCCTGTTGATGGCCATGAAGTCCTGAGAATTGTTGGGAAGAACCCATTTCTGTGGCAGGACCATTGGCCAGTTAAAGACTATGCCAGAGTGTTTGAATGTTTGGTTCTGGTAGATGAGATAGCCAGAGAGGCAGACAGAGTTGTGTCCAAGATTAGGGATACTGGGAAGCAATTGAGGTCTGGAGATGATGATGATGGCTTGTCTTCGCAGCAAGTTCCTTACATCTCGGTTCACATGAGGATAGAGATAGACTGGATGATCCACTGCAAGAAGTTGGAGCAAAGATCAAACATTACCCAAATTTGCAGCAGCAAAATGGAGATCATGGAAAGAGTTGGGAACATTAGGGGGATTAAACCACCAACCATGGTCTATCTTGCTGTGGCCGATAGCCTGTTGGAAGATTCTTCGATACTAACCGGCTGGAGCGAAGGTTTGGTTCCTATCGAGAAGAAGAAACTTGGCGTGGACGGAATCTACAAGAAGTACCCATATCTAATTCAATCAGCTATTGATTATGAGGTGTGCTTGAGGTCAGATGTGTTTGTAGGGAACAGTTTCTCTACGTTTTCGAGCCTCGTTGCGCTCGATAGAACTCAGAAGACGATTAGGATGGGCTTGGCGACGGGCAGCAGCTCCTGTGGAGTGGATGTGAGATGGCCTTCTTATGCATACAACATTTTAGGTGAATCAAATGGGCCTCACAGATGGATGACAAATATGTCTGATTCCAGCCTTCAAGCAATCAGCTATGGTACGAATGTCATCTCTTGTTGAAAGTTTAAAAGGGGCATCTCTGTGGGATCAGCAATGGCTGCCCTGGACCAGGAGCACTCTCCACCTGTGATTAATTGGTGCTCTGTTGATATAGAGTTTTCTTGGTCGAGAGAATCGGCGCAGCGTGAAGTACAGCAGTGACTATGAAATCGTTGGGTACAGTTTTTGATTAGTGAGATTTTACACTTGTATGTTCATGGTTCAATTCTTTATCCTGTTTGGTCATCTTTTTCCTCTGTTCCTATTGTGTTCATTCTTACAGAAAACCCAAACGCAAATCTCTCCAAAATTCATTCTCTTAGCTCGAACTTCTTACCATGAATTGATGATCAACTCCATTGAATGTTGCTGGCTGTTGAAGACTTAAAGAGACAGCCAGGCCGCCCCACCACCAGGTTGGGAAACTAGAACGTGTTGACATTTTTAATTGACCGTTTGCATGCAATAATTGTTTTGCATAATTGTCACTTCCTGATCCCTACACAACGGGCAAAAGGACAAGCCGTCTTTGTTGTCCAGCAATAGGAATATTTTGGGAAGAGAAGAACGGGATAGAGGACAGGCCGACAGAAACAGAGATGTGGGCTTCCCATTTCCTAACGTTAATATAGGTTGGAATTTCGTTATTTAGATGAGATATTGGAAAACAGAGCATTGTTGTTGCGTGCACCTTATAACCCCACCTAAAAAAGACGAAGCAATAAGGAAAAGAGAGGTAAAAAGGGGAAGAAAGGATCCCACTGAAGTTGCCTCGGGAGCAATCAAGGGATTGCTTCTTGTTGATGACTTCTTTTTGCGGCAACACTACTGTCTCATCGATTTGATTACAATTGTGAGGAAAGTTTATGTTTTTCATTTTCTACTTAATTGGGTGGGATGACGATTCTGAAGGGGATCCGATCCGCTTATGGTCTCGACGATGCCTAATCTTCGTTTTGGAATACGTCCCAACTCTGTGTGCAAAATTGTCGTTGCGTGCATCTAACTGCCACCAGATGGTCGCATTTCAAGACAAGGAGATATGGATAATGTGGTCCGTCCACCCATGCTTTTTTTCTGTGTAATTTCCAACCTTTTTATGGAAGAATCAACAAGTAACCCTGATCTTATGGGTAGTTTTTCCGGCTTGAGGTGGTGATGTTCCAATACTGCAATGGGGCCTCTGACGACGACACCACAGAAGCTTTATTGCTTGTTAGTTTGAGTTGTCTACTTTTGGCCGTGTATGGGATGCAAGTGCAAGAAGCATTTTATAGCATTTGTACTTCGCCGTTGTATACCGTTGATTTACTTTTCCTTTCCCTTTTCATCCCTACATATATATATCTCTACTCTACTCAATTCTACTCTACACAGAAATGATTAATCCATCTTTACCGGTAAAACTCAAGAAAAGCAAATATAGAAGAGGGCTGCAGATGTTACCCTTTTTTATCTGATTTAATAACAGTAACTTTCATCTGTTTCCTTTTTTCTATCAAGAGAGCAAAAAACCACAAACTCTACTGGATTTTCTACTCTGTGACTGCAGCAGCAACTGTAGAATAACAGAATAAGCAACTAACAAGGGTCTAGAGAACTGAAATATTCCTCAATTTTATGCAAACTCTTGTGCAAAATGCAAGCACAGGAAATCGAGTGACAACCCCCCGCCTTTTGCACCATTTCTCTTCACCTCCTCTCGAGCTCTGATGGCGGGAAAGCTAGATTGATTAGCTTTGTCCTAAAGAAAACCGTAAATGAGTTGAGTTGTTCAGTATATATTTGACTTTCTTCACTGAAGGAAATCCTCGTAGTAGTTGTCACTGATCACGGATACAAATCTCTCAAGCCATGGGAGCTGGTGGAGGTCTTTCATGGTGTCCACGTATGAATCTGTACAGCGTGGAGGGGATTGGGATGTTGGATGGTGATCGCTCAGGCTGAATCCGCCGGAGAGGAATCTTTGGATCAGTGCAAGCTGTGACCTTTCTTGGTCTGAATATGCATCCATTAACATGGGCAGTGAATTAAAAGTCTCCCATGCCCATTGTTCGGACTCTTGCACAGACTGTGTAATTAAATCGTCAGAATTGTTTTCTTCATTCCAGAAGGCGCAGTGGCAGGTCTGTTGCCGATCTCTGTACTCAGCACCACATGAGTAGCAGAACTCATGACCACACCTGCAGAAACAACATATTTTGGTCATTGAAAACTAGGGTAAGAATAGAAGAAACAATTAGTTGAACACCTCGCCGTCTAGTCATGGCAGTTTTTATCTCGCCCGCTTAAACCTACCTTTCCCTACCTATTTTGCGCTGGGCAGGGCATGAGAACTCCATTTTGCCCCGCCTCCTTCCCTATCTGTTGAGTCAACCTTGTATCTACCATTTTGCTCAACTACTCTTATTTTAATTTCTACTCAATCTATTTTTCACTTTAATGTAAGAGGCTCGATTTCTCGATACTCATTAATCATGTTACCCTCTCTATTTTTAATAAAAACGTATTGTTTATCGATTTTTTATGAAAGAATGAACTTGTTATGCATTTTTTCTTTAAAAGACACATACCCAAATCGACCAACTTTACCCAGCCCCTGCCCCAAGTCAAAGTACCCAAGGTATTAAGGCATCCGCCTAGCCCTCGACTATTGCCATTCTTAATTTCAACTAGCACGAAAAACTCAGTGGAGCTCTTACAAGTGATTACCACGTACACTAGCAGATGATTCACACAAATCTCCAAGTTGCAATCATCCTTTCAGGAAAACATTTTATAGCTTCCATGACTCAGCATCTTCTACCCCTATTCATCAGACTTCTCCTATCCTCGAATTATAGTAAACCAAACCATATCGTTCCACAGCTCACTTGCTGGTTTTGACTACATTATCCAATATACTAGTGAGAGAATGTAACCAATCCATAGATTCAGGTACCGCAGGTAATCATTGCAACAGAAGCAAACAAATGGAAAACCAGACATCCAACTGTCAATCAGTGTACTTACCAGCAGGTCATGTGATAGCAACCCTGAGTGAGCTCAGTCATTCTACGACATTGCGTGCAACGCCTCCACCTTTTATTTTGTGCAAGGCGGTGCAAGGTAGCGTCAGTAGCATGTCTTTCCTCAAACGGAAGGTTTTGATACTCATCGCAGCTCAATGAAGAGTGCCATGGAACACTGCATCCAACACAGATGAACCTCTGACAAACTGGACATTCAACACAGAAGCTATTATCCGACTGACTTGAAGAACTTGCCCTTGCAGACAAACATTCACGAGGATCTAGCAAAACTGAACAATCTGAATAAGGACAATAAATTCTATCAGAATGAAGAGCATCATCAACTTCTGCTAGGGCTTCCATGAAAGATTCATATGAAGCATGAGGAAGAAAAGATTGACACTCCGAGATGGACAGGTAATACTTGCATCCCAGCTGAGGGCATCTGATGGGTATTTGAGAAGAAGACTCCTGCATTTTGGCTTCGACAAATTTTGTCATACAATGTGAACAGAACTTGTGAGAACACTTGAGTGTGATCATCATTGGCAGCATTTTGTCCTCAAAACAAAAAGAGCAATTGCCATGTGTTTTTTTATCTCCACTTCCAGGAAACGAAACAATGCCTACTGCTATCTGAGCTAGATGCAATGGTCTCTCCAGAGCACAGCTGGGAACGAGTTTCAGTAAAAATGTTTCCAAACTACCAGTGAGCTCAACGATCCTTTCCCTCAATGCTATCAGAAGTGGATTCTCGATTTTCTCCTTGTGTGTTATCTGCGTAAACAATAATATAATGGAATTTGAAGAAATAAGATTATCACTAAAAAGCTACTCTTGAAAAACAGAAAGGAAGCAAGTAAGAAGCTGCAGCGCGAAGACTGCTCATACAAAATTTTCTTCATAGTCATTATCACTGACCACCAAGAAATTACAAAAACAGTTCCACAAAACAAAAGGGGGGAGAATCTATTGCATTAACCAGAATGCAGAATGGTGAATGAAAATTCCACAGCAACCAAAATCCGTTCCGTCTAGTTCAGGCTGAATCAACAAGTTTACGTTGTTACAGCTCAGGCATGTATCAATATGTCAGAATAACTAACCCAAAAAAAAAAAAAAAAAAAAAAAAAAAGAGGATGTCCTTATCAACGCATAATAAGTCCATACATATAGAGGAACGACATTAAGAAATAAACAAATTGAGAGGATTCCCAAACTTAGAAGTATGAATTGGGAACTTCTAAAGGGTAGGAAACACAGGCTAGCAAGACACAACAGCATCCTGAAATTCTTAATTACTAATATAGAAGCATAGTTATTTAGCCTCGTAAAGTTCATCACAGATGCTGCAGCATTGAAGACAAAGTATGACGAATAAAAGAATATGCTGACATGCCATCTAAACAGCAAACGACATCTGAAGCCTGAGAGTTCCTAAAGCAAACCTTCACCATGCGTAAAGAACCTCATGGCTGATCACAGTAGCTGAATTAATTGGTGGCTAACAGCACAAGCAATGAGAAGATAACTAACCTGGTTATACAACAAACTGGAGTCAGTGGATGCATAGACATGGCGAAAGTTATTCTGCACGGCCTCAGTTAGGCCATCCATAAGCGCCAAGTAGTCAGCAACAGAGGACTCAACATAGAAATCAAGCTTCTTTTGCACCTGAACAAGGGGAACCTTTTCCTGTCTTTCCATTACCACACCAATTCCAGAATAGCCAGGCCCGGAGTCCCCTGAATCAGTTATTGACACCCCTTTGAAGAACATCTTCACCGAAAACTCGTCAAGATCAGCTTTTGGCCCTTCAACCTTGACAATTTCTTCGGCCTCCTTCCAAACCTCATCATCTCCACAACAGCTCCGAAAATCTTCCTCATCTTCGTCCAATTTATTATTTTCCCTAAATACATTCACCGGAGAGCCATCACTGATGAGAAGAAGAGCCGGGTCTTCCATATCCAGGTCCAATACTACTCTAGAACCCAGATACTAGTTATAAACGCCAAGGTGAGAAGAACCCAAAAAGCTCAGCAATCAGCATGGGAAATCCTTTGTTCCGCAGCTGCGTTTACCCAACAGAAAAATAAGAAATCAATAAAATTGAAATTTGCATACAGAGCCACAGAGAAGAGTCGAAGGAAACCCTATGAATTAACGAGAAAATCCTAAGATCAACCAGTGATCTTAAAGCCAGTAACTACAAATCAAATTCAAACAAGAACCCATTACCCAGATCAATCCAAATCGATCGGAACCTAATCAAACACCCGGGAAATTTTCAAAGAGCGATACACCCACCCACCCTCCCAACCCCCAGTCCATCCAGAAAAGAGAAAGAACAAAAGGGAGACTCAAGCTAATAGCAAGTAGCTTTCCACTCCACGCGACAGAGCAATGAAAATCAAACGCAACAATCTCCGGATAGAATACCCCGATTCCAGCAATTAAACGAAGAACAGTGATGTGAATCGGGAGAGACAGAAGTGGAAAAAACACAAGCGGAAAGGGACGAAATGAAAGACAAGAAGTGAAGCGTCGAATTACCATGTGGTGTTCGGAGGACGAGGATGCGGAGAAAACTAACTCGGAGCATCTATCTGGGTGATTAATCGGTAGGGTATTGAATTTTTAACTGATGGGAGGAATCCCTGTGGCCACTGGTCAGGCCCAATTTTCTCTTTTTTTTTTTTTGTTTGTTTGTTTGCTCTCCTAGTTTTCCACAGGCTGTTTACTTAATAATTTGTCATCATTCGCTAAAGCCTAACCTAATCCAATCCAGAATTTCGAGTGACTTTCCACTGAATAAAGTGAAAAGAAGATTAAATATTTTAACGATGAGAGAGAGACTGTGATTTTTGGGTGTAAGGAGTAAATGCTATGGTTTTGATTTTTGAGCTGAGGCACGGGTTTGCGTTACCGGAATGGCGGAATTTGATGGCTTCACGATGTTATCTAGTGGTGTCACGAGTTCGAATCGGTGAAAGTGATTGTCCAGCGCCGCTTGAATGGTTTGTGAAATGAGAAGTGATGGCGGTTGTAGAAATTAGGGCTCGAAGTTTGTTACCGGTATTTGGATAATATCGAATATCGCATTGAATTTATCATTATTTGGTATTATCGAGTATCTGCTTATTTTTGAACACAGATATTCAGCAACAGACTTGTTGGAGGAAAGCTTGCCACTAATTAAATCAAATTATGCAAGGTTATGCAATCTAAGGTTTGCCCTCTGACGACAATCTCTTCTTTCCCTGACCTTTGCGTGCTACCAGGTGGCGCCTCGAAATTTCTCTTTCTCCCCTCTCCTTCGCTCTGTTTTTTGTACCGTTGGGTAAATTGCCCTTTCGTTGCACAACACATTCGCGCTCCGGATTCGGGAATCGGGTCTGGTTTTATGCACTGAGCCGGAAGGACGACCAGCTTCATTCATCCTCGGCTTAAGCAGCGTCTCGCCCTGGTCGTGTGTTGATTACTGACTAATCTTCCTGCTAGCAGAAGTCGCGTTTTTGTTTCTGGTCTGTTTGCCAATAGTGATGATTTGAGGATTAGAAGAAACCCAGATTCGGGATTGTGCTTCTTCAGAATTTTGGTGAAGAAACATCCTCGTTCCTGTTCAGAATGCTTCCTCAAACGATTTTCCGGAATTCCACCGCTTCCACATCCTCTCGCCGTTGCCGTCTATCATTTTCGCGCCACCCAACAAGCATCCGACGAACGCCACGTTCCCGTTGCCCAGGTCGGAATTTCCCCTCTTTTATATGTCTTCGCATCTTTTGTGTTACGAAATAGATTCTCTGTTTGGTCTTTGCTTTCGTTAAACGTTTTTTTCCTGTTTGGTTGGAATCCCAGCGGAACTAGTAGGAGAATGAACTGACTGTATTGTGGTATGGATTTCTTTAGTTTCGTTTCTGTTTGTTTGCAAGCTTGGAATCCCGACCAGCTGAGAAGCTCCTCCGGCGAATGGAAACACTTGCCTCTGGTGACTTTGTTGGTCCGGCGGTCCATGCAATCAATTTTCCTCCGGCGAGAAGTAAATAACCAATTAATGGCCTCATTGGTCCATTTATTTGGGTTTTAATACATCAGTTATGTTATTTGATGTTATTTGGTCTTTAATGATCTGTTACAAGTGATTAATGAGTCACTAAAGCGGTCCTTTTATGGCGCTTTACAACCTTTATGGTTGGTTTATATATCAAATTATGGGATAGAAAGAATTAATTTCTAACGTTCATAATTAATTTCTGACTTTCAGAATTAATTAATTCATGGTTTTCAAAGTATCAGTGGCACAAGCTCCTCTCCTCGACCAATTATTGGGCTAGTGTAGTAAAACAAATCCAGTGTCTATTTTATGGCTGGGATTTGAAATATGGAGGAATTGGGTGATTAATTAATGGATTTAGTAACATTTCCTTCTTTGTCCATTTTTCATATTAATTGGGACCAATGGATAATTATGAAATTAATTGGTACCATATTAATTGTACTCAGATTCTTCATATGGCAATGCCTCAAAGTCATACTTCCCACAGTAGTGGCCCTTCAAACTCGTGGAGTAAACTGCCTTAACTGATGGCCTGTCTGCTGGAGACATCGAGAAAGCATTGAACTTTTATTATTCAGATGCCCCCTAGCCATCAGATTGTGGAGTTTAGTGGAATTGAGCAACTTTATTGAGACCGCCCAGACTGTTAACAAGTCTATGGTGGCGACATGTCATGGTCTCCGAGACCTCCCCACTCCACATTCTCCAATGCGTCTGTTTACTTTGGAAAATCTGGAAGTCTAGAAGTAAAGTGACCTTTGAATTTATCCAACCTCATATCCGTACCCTAGCCAGACAGTTCTACCACCAGGTCCTCGAAATCTCCAATCTTCTTCTTCCCCCTCCTCCCCGCACTCTCTACTCCGATTCCTTCCTGCCACCTCTTGGGTCCCTCCACCAGAAGGCTTTTTGAAGTTCAACGTCGACGCAGCTGTTTGCCCCTCCGGGTGTTCGTCTGGGCTTGTTATCCGTGGGTCAGATGGGCATGTGATGTTGGCGTTCGGGTTGCCACATCAAGGGATATTGCTTGGCCCACGAGGTAGTCGAAGGTGACTTCGAAGTGGTCGTCAACCAAGTCCGTCAAGGCGTCTTAGAAGACTCGATTGGTTGTCCGGTGTTACGAGAGTGTCTTCAGATCCTTGGCTCTTTGTATGTTTGTATAGAGTTTAGGGCGGTACCTAGATCCGCCTTCAGTGCTGCCCATAGAGTGGCGCGTAAAGCACTGCTTTTGTCTCGTGTAGAGCTAGAATCTTTTGTTTTTTCGGGGTGGCTTCTTTAGAGTCTTTTAGGGGCCCTGGGTAGAATTGTAAGCTTAACTACTATTTTCCATTGATATCACTCAGAAATAAAAAAAAAATATCTGCTTATTTTTTAAAAATTGTGCTTGGGATTCATTTTGGAGTGCTATTTGATATTCGGGATACGGGATTGGAATCGGTATATACCGAAATATTGAGAAATACCAAAAATTAAAAATTAATAAAATATAGCACATAACCTTTGGTTATTCATCACTCTTTCACAATGTAGAAGCCCAATCCAACTCAAATCCAGTTTAAGTCATTCTCGTCTCTTACCTAATCTCATTTTATTTTCATAACACCAAAAGGCAAACACTAGTATTAGTTGTCTCTCATCCTTCAATTCGCCATATTAAAGATTACAAATGACAAGAATTTGAGGTGTTATCTCCCCTCCGTTCTCATTATTCATATCCTACCTCTAGGCAAATTCAAGACTCTTTGCTTAGTTTCTTTGCTCTAAATTAAACAATCAAATCTAATTTATATATTTAATTATTAATTGTAAAGTTCATTAATTTTGTATTCGATAATACCGATTGGGATACCGAAATATTTAGGGATTGAGATTGGGATTGACTTTAGGGTGTAATTCAATATTCGGAATTTCGGTATTTGGTATTGGGATACCGATACCGTAGCGATTTCCACTCCTAGTAGAAACAATGACATCTAAATCGTAGAAGCATTTTGGTGAGTTGAAAATTTAAAACGTAAGTTTTAAAGTGTAAATTTTACTATAATTGCATTTGAAATAGCGCGATTTTACATAAAAGGTTTCCACTTTTATCTGCTAGTGATGAGAATGCCAGATTACCCACCAGACCCACTTTTTAGGATTTTCCACTCCACTATAGTCTTAGACTACATCCATTCCTAAAATCTATTTACACTAGCGTGGGCCCCGGCCATTTGGCCGGAGGAAGGTGAGGTATAAAATTTGATAATGTAATGGGGTGTATAGCTTATTGTTGTATAGTTTTTTTTTTTGGAAACACGTGATAAAAATAGTGAATTTTAGTAGGGAAGAGACATGAATGATGCAACGAATCAAAAATCAGCCTTATGAACCAAAATCAAGTACCTGTTACCTTGTGAAACAATATTGTTTCTGGTAATATGATGAGGTGGGGTAAGTTTTATAGAAACCGAATTCGAGAAAATCGAATAAAGTATCCCGCCGGTTTTCGGGAAATGAGCATCTCACAATCGTTGCTATCTTTTACTCGGCCCGTTGGCCGATTAATTTGCTTTATAAAACTTTCATCTTGTCATCATTGTGCTTTCTAGTTTGCCAAGCCATGATAAAATCTAAAGAAATCAAGAATGAACAATATATAGTGTTGGGGGTATTGCTAAATGGGCCCAAGAAGAGCCCATTTAGGCCCTGTTCACTTCCATTTTCGTTCCTGTTTTCTGTTTTCATGTGATAAATTTGGCAACCGAAATGAGAAAACTTGTTTACTTTTCATTCTGTTTTCTATTCGTTTCCAACTATGAAAACAGAAAGTGGCAACTTCCTGCTGTTTTCGGAAACGACAAAATGTTGTTTTCATCTGTTTTCAACATCTGTTTTCTCAAAAACAGGAAACAGAAATGAAAGTAAA